TCTCGCGTGCATGACCCATGCACGCTAGGTCACCGTGTGCTCCATGCAACCTTTCTTCGACCCGTGATCACCTCTGCATGCCTTCATGCAGCAGCAGTAATTGCTGCATGACAGCAATAATTTTTGTATTATATTACAGCCTTCAATGGGTTAACATGCGACCTTCATGCACCCTATGTCACTGTGTGCTCAATGCATGTTCAACGTGGGAGATGCATGGTGGTCCATAAGACCACCACTTCTCTCGTATCAGCTTTATTCGATACCTACACCATTTTTCAACATACGCATGCAACCTATACATGTGGCACCATCATGCAACCTATACTTGTGGCATCGAAAAAATTCAGCTTTTAACACATGCTGATATCTAATCAAACAGCTGTAACATAATAAAATAATAATAAAAATTTAACTATATAAATGTATGATTGAAGGAGGGTAAGAATAGAGTTGTAAAATTAAAAAAGGTAGCAGATTGAAAGGGAGAGTGAGAAGATTGAAAGGGAGAGTGAGCAAGTAATAGACGGGGAACATTTTCCATTTGTAAAGATTGAAAGAAGGAGCATATTAAAGAATTTGATACGTATTTTTCTTTCGTTATTCTGAGTTTAATAAATTTATTGTAATCTTTTTATTAAATACGTAGGATATTTTTGTAGGGAAAACATTTGGTCTGGTCGAATATATTTTATTTTCAAACTATATTGTTGTAAGATTTGAAACAGTGAAGTACGTGTGAATTAATTGTATTTGCATTTGAAGTATTTTATGATTTATTATTATGTTAATATAATAGTATATTATATTATTTATTTAATGATTTATGAAATTATCTTTTCAAATTTTTTATTCTAAATTTATATATTTTTTTATTTGTAGAGAAAATGAGCAACCACTTTTTCACGATTGTCCATTATAATGGACAGATTATGGAAAATGAGGTCGGAGTTGTTTTTCAGTCTGAAAAACTAATAAATATGATGTTCAAAAGAGACATCACATTTGTAGAAATGAAGCAGAAGAAAGAAAGAAAAATTCGAGTTGCAGTTGATGGTTTGATGTACAGGTTTATGATATGTCTCAACCCAGTCAGATATGTTGCAGTACCACTTGAAGAAGATGATTATATTGGAACCATGATTGGATTACATGAGTCAACAAATATTGCAGTTATTGAGTTATTTGTTGATGTGCGTAACATATATGATGTTCTTGGGTCATCAAGAAATGTGGCTCGAAATCCATCTGAAATGGCTTTCGATAGTGAGTTTGAGGACCCAATATACAGGTGCCCAAACAGTTTTATGGCACTATTGGAAAGTGGAAATGAAGTCGGTGGGACATCCACAGCAGCAGAGTATGAGACGAGAAACATACACCATTCAGAATTGACTGTTAATATTGATGCTGAAAATTGATGAGGAGAAATTCATGATGATTCAAGCAAAGATGAAGAAACCGAAAAACCCGTTTTGGGCGACGATGATAATTTTTTTTGGTGGAAGTGTACTTGACTTGGCCATTGATGAAGTTTCGACACAGTATGAAGCTACTCCTCACATGTACGAGATAGATTATGATGCGATGAGGGCACCTGAATTCTCAGATATGCCACATTTACCTCCGTACCAAATGGCCGAATCATTCGAAAATTCTGGTGAATTTTCAGTTGGGGTGCAATTCAGAGGAAAAAATGAAGTTACGCTGGCGATTAAAGAGTATTGCATCAAAAGCCATGTTGATGTCCATGTTGCAGAGTCCAACCAGAAAACCATATACGCGAAATGTGTTAAATATGACCCAGAGTGCAAGTGGAAGATCAGAGTGTCGAAAATTCAAAGGCACGATGCTTGGGTCATCACAAAGTACAACGGTCCTCACACATGTTTGAGAAACTACATTATTTGAAGATTTTTTTCATTGCATTATTCAACAACTTTTCTTATCTGGTAACTTAAATTTGGCAAAATCATCAATTTTTGGAATTATTTAATTGTAGGAGGACGAGCAACGAGTCATTCGTGATCGGCTCAATATTCCGGCCAAGCCACACCAATTGATATAAGAAAACTTGCAACATGTTGAATTTTACTATGTAACATTTGTGCGAGAATACAAGTTGGTCCTTTGGAGCAATTGGCTTTGTGCAATGATTTACCTCTTTCTAAAAATAGGTGGGGTTAACTATGTATTTTAATGACCCACCTTCTTAAAATTGCTGTTAGAGGAACATGAGTCGTGGAATGTGTATTTATCTGTTATTTTGAACATTTAAGGTGAATATTTGGAAGGCCTTTTCATTTTCTCACGTGTGATTCTTTGCAAAAGCTTAATTAAAGGAAGAATTTGAAAGTTCTCTGTTATGTGCTCATATTCATCTTGATCTTCATTCCCTTGGGTATTGTTTTACAATTCAATTCATTATTTATAAGAATTCAGGCACTCAGCTTACAAGACTTTGAGTTCTCAATTCATTAACCAATTCCTTGATTAATTGCATCCATCTCGCTGTTTAACTGATCCTGTGAAGCAACACCTTGTTGTGTTCAAATGAACTTTGCCGTAATGGGCAATGCCTTTGATATGCTTTTAGGGAATCCATATGTTGGGGTTAGCAAGATATGGTAAAAAATCATTTAAAAATAAATTTTAATAAAAAATGTCCATCCCAACCACAATTTTATAATCAAATGTTTATATAGACTTAATTATCACTTTATTATCATAAGACTGAGAAATGTTCTACTCTTGAAAATTAACTTCAAAAAAGGCCCGAGTTTCTTAAGGCTGTGGCTCATCATCCCTGGAAAGACCTATAGAAATCTACCTACTTATTATGATTGTTACATACTCATGATAATAATTTGCAGAAGAAAGCATGCTGAATTGGTCGGAGAAGTTTCAAACCTTTATCACAAAGAAGAGAAGTTATTATCCGAGGTCTGCTTGAGTATTTTTCTTTCTGTCTTGCATTTCCTGATTTTACCCAAATCTCCTATATATCCGGTGTTAAGTGGCTGTGGTTTCAGCATAAGGGGTGTATGAGATGTTTAGTGGTGTTTTCTGCCATCACTTATGTTTTGGGCTGGTTGTGACTTTATCTGCCATCACTTATGTTCATAAATGATTGTATTTCTACATGTCCTAGTCCTTTTTTTGGAGGTCAGGGATTTACTTAAGTTGACTCTTTATTTTTCTGTTTCCACCTCTCTTTTTCCAGACTATTCCAGATCTTTGCTGGGAGTTAGCGCAACCCAGGACATATACATTTTGCAAGGTAGAGTTTCCCTGCTTTTCTTTTTGAGAACGGAAATCAGGTCAACAATTATGTCAGAAATCATATTGTAATTTTATCTCCTTTTAGGTGATTATGATCTAAAGGTTATGCGGCAAGAGTTCTATATTAGCAGACAAAAAGCGGTATGTTCGGCTATTATTCAAAAGTTTTTATTTCTTTATATCTTGCTTGGGCTTCTTTTCTTTTCTTCCCATAAAAAGCAGAACCATATCCTAAATTTTCTAGTAGGGCCATGGAGCTTTTGCTTCTTAGTTTTTATTGGAGATATAATGCATTTAGCTTAGGTGAGAAACTAAGAACAGGCACGTGGAATAATCACCATTTTACAGTACCTGTTAAGAAAAAAATGTTCCTATTGCATGTCAGTTGTATTCAATCATCTCTACTGTTGGTTAGACTTGATGCTTCCTCTTGAGAAAATATACCAGTTCAGTGAAAAATACGGAAGTTGATAACTGTTCCAGTTAAATAATTCGTATTTTATAGCACACTCTAATTAAATATGTTTGACATACTGTGATCAAGGGCCAGTGTAGCGTTCAGATTTTTACTAGTCTCAGAACCACTTGAACAACAGTCACGAATTTTTTAAAGTTGTTTCCCCTCCTAGTTATACACTGCCAATAAGCATTCTCCATTTTTTTATTTTTATTTTTTGCAGTTTATCAATCATCTGACCAAGCATCTTGCAAGGCATCAACTCTTAAAAATAGCTTGTCAATTGGAAAAGAAGAATATGCTTGGAGCGTATTCATTGCTTAAAGTTATTGAATCAGAGCTTCAGGCATACCTGTCAGCAACCGAAGGCCGAGTGGTATGTTTGATCTTATGACGTGGTCTGGTATTTTTATGAGCATCCTAATATTTCTATCAGTGTCTTTTTTTATAATGCCCAAAGGGACATTAATACATTTATCACATCTGTCAGTTGCTGCTCTCCTATTTTGGGATTCTATGAATTGTGATGTTGCACATTTTTGTTTCGGCTATCTGTTTGTGATATGGTCCACGTTAATGTCTAAGCTTTGAGTATTAGAGGTTGAATTGAAGTCTCTATTTTTTGGTGTAAGATAGCCTTTTTACTTGTACTAATATTAAAAAGAACAAGGCAAAGAACACTAGCAAATTCAAATTATATATCATTGTTTTATAGATGGAAGTAAGAAGAAAAAGATGTTTCAATAAAATTCCTATAGGTCTTTAGCTTCTTGGTAAATTTTGTTCTGTTAGTATTTGAAGGGAAATTAGAACTTTGGACATTCTCATTTCCTCTTGAACAATGATTCTGTTAATTATCATAGCCTCATTACTCGGCCTTTCTTTTCATTGATAAAATTCACGTGCTTTGCTGACATTTTGATTCCCCCTTTTAGACTCTAATGAAAGAGCTGGATGAAATGGAAAAGATCAATGCAAAACTCTCTGCCGCAGTTGAGGAGGTTACCCTTGAGCATTGAAAAAAGAACGAGGTAATCGGAGTTAATAAAACAGTTTCTCTCATGGATGAAGTCTTGCATATCACTTCATATGATTACAACCATTTTCAGTTCCCATTCCAGTATATGCTCAATTTATAAGAAATCTTTGATAAACTAAATAAACAGTCATTAATGTTTTTCTTTTCTCCATTGATATTTCAAAACTAACGATTTAATCATTAATGTTATCGATTTATAAGAAATCTTTATAAGGGACGACAATGGCGATAGCTATGGAGATGCATGATGTGAAAGGAGTGGTGAAGGCCGTTTCTAGTGTGAATTTGATGTTGGTTTTGAATGAGATTGATGACCATTTCTTGAAATCCTGAGAGAATGCTCGAGAAGATGCATTATCATTCCAAGTTAACTGTTAACCCAGGTAATCTATTTGATAATTATTTGATATATTGGTTGTGAATTTTAGTTTGTTGTGATATGTTCTCAATTGTAAAATTAAATGTAATGCTTATGTTTAGTTGCTTACTTTCTCTATAATATTAGCAATTAACATTTGAAATTGATAATCCATAAATACGAAATGGATAAGAGTTGGATGGATTTGTCAAGGGTAAGCGACATATATCGAAATGGAGTCGAAACTGAAGCAAGGAAAGCAGAGAGAGAAGCACCATATCAGAAAAATGTAAAGATTTTCAAAATCAAATTCAAGCTATGATGCATATGATATGACAAAATCAACCCAGAGTCCACCATCTTAGGTGTTATTATTGTTTATTGTAGTTAACAATGTTGAACTACATCATATTTTACCTTAATGTAAACTTTGATTTATTATTATGGATTTCAAGTTTCTTGATATGGATTTCAAGTTTGTTGTTATGGATGTCAAGTTTATTGGATAATGCTACATGTTAAATTTAGCTAGCAAAAGAGTAGAAAACAACATTTGAAAAATTAGTTTTGATTCGCAGCGTTTGTATAAAAAACGCCACTAAATACATAGTCAATACCGACATTTTTGAAAATTAATGTTCTAGATTTTTTGCGGCGTTTATACAAAAAACGCCACTATATATGTAGTCAATAGCGGCGTTTTACATTCACAAACGCCACTATATGACAAAACATTTAGTGGCGTTTTGGGAACAAACGCCACTATATGTAACAACGTTTAACAACATTTTTCGGACAAAACGCTATAAAAGAAAAGATAAATATCGGCATTTGGAAAAATCACCGTTAAATATAATGACATTTAGTGGCTTTTGTAAAAAAATGCTACTAAAAACATACACAAACGCCGCTACCTTTTGCGGTATTTTTTTCAATAGCGCTTTTTACTGCATTTGTTTTTGTGCCATAAAGGTTTTTAGCAGTGCTTAAAAACGCAGTTATATGACAGAAAAACGCTGCTAAAATATTTTAATGTTTAAGGAATAGTTTATTATTATTGTTGTTGAAAATATTGAATCAACATGCTCAAATGTTTAATGTGAATTGAGTTATTATATCATGTATTGTTTTTTAATAAAATGATAATAGACGAGGAAGGATTATGGGTGAGCAAAACTCAACTCGATTCGAAAAATCAATTTTTTTCGATTCGACTTGAAAAAACTCGACTCGAATTGGCTTTGAGTTGTAATTTCATAAACTTGACTCAAAAAAATTTCAAGTTCAAATCGAGTTGTAAAATACAACTCGAATAACTCAAAATTTTTAGTAATTAGTATATTAATTTTCAAGTTTGAGTCGAGTCCCTCAACTTTGTATGATATATATAAATCACATATGAAAAAAATACATATATATATATAGTGTATATGATTATAAAATACTATTTAAACTAGAATCAAATAATGTCATAATATTGTAAATATTTACAATTAAATTTAAATAGAAACTCGAAAATTTGACTCGATTATAAAAAATTTCAAGTTAACTCCGAGTTGTAAAATACGATTCGTAAACTCGAATAACTCGAAATATTTTGACTCAACTCGATCAAATGCTCATCCCCAGGAGGGAGTAAGACTTAAAACCTTGTAAAGGGGTTTAATAATTAATTATTATACTAAATTAAATAGATGTATTTAGGCTAAACTCAAAAATTAATCATATTTTAAATTTTAAAGATTAACGGATAAAAAGAATAAAAGAGAAAATAATATATTAATTAGAATATAAATTATAAAATATCATAAAAACATATTTCTAATTTCAATTTAAATACATTAGTTTATTTGTCGTTTATTTGTCATTGTTGATGCGGTTATCAACAGGTAGGCTATAAGACCTTAAGTTCAATATTTCCTCTTTCAAATGTATCTCCAGCTGATGTTAACCTCTTAAGTAGCAGGAAATGTTAATTAAGAGATTGAGTTAGATTTATTGGATCATTCTTTGTTGAGGTTTTTGCTTTTGATGTAGCAGTGGGCGTCGTGAGGATGCTACTCGTATTGGTTCTGCTGGTGTTGTAAGGCGTCAAGCTGTTGATATTTCTCCTCTTCATCGTGTGAACCAAGCCATTTATCTCCTAACCACTGGTGCTCGTGAGTCTGCATTCAGAAACATTAAGACCATAGCTGAATGTTTGGCCGATGAGCTGATTAACGCTGCAAAGGGATCATCCAACAGGTAAATAAAGAAATTCGAACTTTCTGTTTTGGAAACTTGTTTTTTCTTTGAAACTAGGAACTGCTTTTTCACATGTCGTTTACGCAATACCGGATTTTCACCTCCGTTTGCTTGGATCGATGCTCTTGTCGTTCTTATTCATGTTATTGCCTCGTTTGTGCAGCTATGCCATCAAGAAGAAGGATGAAATCGAGTGTGTTGCCAAGGCCAATCGTTGAGGAATTGGAAGGAGCTTGCTTAATCTATGGAAGTGGACAATTATGTAGTTTATTTCAGTACTTTATGAGTTACCTATTTTGTCTTCTGGACGTGGTGTGATTGTGTTGATTATTTAAGTGGTCTGGTTAGTTTGCGGTGAAAATGAGTTTTTAATAGATAGTATCGAAGAAACATTTTTTCTCTCATGGTAATATATGCTTTTGTGCGTTTTCATCATTGATCGATACAATCGAGTTTCATCATTTAATGTGCCGATAACAACGAACAGTTTCTCTGCACGAGTGTTTCTTTAGTTCCTTACATCTATGATTAAGCAAACAAGGCAGGGTCATACACACATGGTGAAATAAGGGGCTATCGGGAATGTTTATGAAAGAGTTCTTGACCCAAAATTCTGTTTAAAACGCAAAAATATTCCCAAATAACTCATTTTCAGTAAAAAATCACTGACTCAAATTAAAAAGCTATAAAAATGGTGATGTTGTGTTGCAGAAGTTCGTTTGGAGGAACCTTCTTTTCTTGCAAAACGACCCTCCTCTCTACACCGAAAGCCGGAAGCACTTTTGGTTAATAATCTACTCAAATCGAGTGACGAAGGAAAAACATAGATGTTGGAGTTAGGGAAAGAGAAGGTTTGACAGTGAAGGTGGGAAAAGTAGGAAGCTTTTTGATATATTATTTATTTTATTTTTTTAAAATAATATTTAATTATTCGTATAAAGAAAATAAAAATTAAAGGTAACATGATACATTGTGATTGGTCATCAATTTATTTTTTAACGAAATTAACGATTTGAGGTAAACGGAGTAATATTTTAAACTTCAGGAGACAAAAGTCCTAAAAATACTTTAAGGGGCAACTCGGTGCATATCATATACTTTAAGGGGCAAGGGTACATTTAAGCCTTTTATTAAAGCGAGTGGGCAAAACTGAGCTGCGTATGATGACATGCGAATCATAAGACTTGTAATCCATTCAATACATGCAATAAACCATTTAATTACCACTGTGATCCGATCCATGGAAAGTGGAAAACTCATCTTTTTAATTTTAATTCCAATAAGCACAGATTGTAATAACATGCTTTCCAATGTAATTATGAATTTTTAACCATCTTTTCTTCTCCTGTTTCTTCATCAAATAACCCGGGTGTGCAAGTCTCCTGCATTTTGTTTGAACGGAATTCAGAGGAAACTGATCTCTTTGTGAACTAATCTTATAGCTTCCATTGCTGTTCTTCTTCAGGAATTTCTTTCCCATTATCTATTTAAATTTCGATTTTGGGATTTTTTCTTTGTACAAATTCGGAACAAATTCAAAAGGTTTGGTTCCCATTGGATTGATGACAGAAATCAGGATCTGGGATCTATCAGGCACCCATTTTGATGTTGGGATTCAAAAGAGAGTTTTGATAATTGCAAGGACCTGAGGATCTGGGAAATTTTGATGGGGAACGCATGTGCAGGAACAACTAATGCTGGTGGTGCCAATGGATTTATTCAATCTGTCACACAGGCGGTCTGGCGGCAAAGGCCAGCCGACGAGTTGCAGGGGGATAACAAACGAAATGCTGGTACCGATGCAGCCGATAACGCTTCCCCTGATCCTGTTAAGACCCAGAACGATGAATCAAAGAAGGAAGAACGAGGTAAACATGAGCCGAAACCACCCCGAAAGCAAATCAAAAGGTTGACAACCATGCAACGCGAGTCAGTGCTAGGAAGGAAAACTGGGAACATTAAAGAGATATATAGCTTGGGGCGCAAGTTATGGCAAGGTCAATTCGGCACAACGTTTCTATGTGTGGAGAAATGCAGTGGGAAACGGTTTGCCTGCAAATCCATCGCCAAGAGGAAGCTGACCTCGACCGACGACCTGGATAATGTTAGGAGGGAAATTTGGTCATTTGACATATCTGTCACTTTATCTATGGAGTTATTGAGTGCACAGATTCCTACTTCTTAACTTTATATTACATTTGATCATTCTTCCTTCCAAACCAGAATTTTCAATTGCTAGAATAACATGTCCTGTAATTCCTTAAGTGAATTTCAAAAACCTTACCCAACTCATATTGTGCTAAATGTCTAACTGGTTTTTGTTTTATCTTTGATTAAAAGTCACAAATTCCGTTAGATTAAATTCTTAATTACTACAGAGAAGTATACGTAGTCTTTGTAATTTTGTGTGCGTGGATAAAATGCATGTATTTTAATCCAAAGAAGCATTAAGCTGCTATAAGAAACAATCCAACCATATCCCACCAACCCGATTCTTTTAGTTCTTTCTTTCAAAATAAAATATATAAAAGCATTCCAAGAAATCTTAAACAAAAATGTAGAAATGGAATTACCCTTCCAACGAGCAAGAGCTCATCTCAATTCACTTTCCCAACTGCCGGAGCTTCCATGAGACTCCCCCAGCGCGACAAAACCATCCTCCAAATGGCACCCGAAAAGGGACACTAAAAAAATATGTGATTCCTGTTCTCAGCCGCATCACTACACAACACACAAGAACCCTCAGCTACAAGTCCCATACGACGAAGCCTATCCAGCAACGTCAACCACAAGATAACAGCATGCCTAGGAACGTGAAACGAAAACCACACCAGCTTCTGCCAAGGAAATCTATCCTTCCTTTCGCTAATCACCTGCCATAACCACAGTCTTTGTAATTTCCATGTGCAATCATGGAAAAAGTTTTTGGTATATAAAATAGCTTTAGTTCCGTGTTACAGCTTTTGAGTGTGGTCATATCTAGGCAACTCACAGTCCCATCATTGTCTTCAATTACATGGTGCCAGTCATCTTTGTAATAAATTTCATTAAAATTTATTATTTTAGTCTACTCTATTGTGTGGGAACTAATCCTTTTTCCTCTAGGTCAAGTGTTCCATGATGAGGTTGGAAGTCCCTACTATGTGGCTCCAGAGGTGTTGCTGAAGCACTATGGTCCAGAATGTGATGTTTGGAGTGCTGGGGTTGATCATTTATATCTTACTTTGTGGAGCACCCCCATTCTGGGATGGTGAGTGTTTCGCTGCTTGTGGTTCAATGGTTCGAACCATCGGTAAATGCTTACTGTCACTTACGGATGTTATTTCTTTCTTTCTTTTTTTTCCTATCAGAAACAGAGCAAGGGATATTCGAGCAGGTTTTGAGAGGTCAACCCGACTTTACAGCGGATCCATGGCCTAGCATCTCTAACAGTGCAAAGGACTTGATCAAACGAATGCTTGTAAAGGACCCTAAAAAGCGGTTTACAGCCTATGAAGTTCTTTGTGAGTATGCGTTGATCTTGCTCTCTCTAGTACATATGAACTTGAATATTATTTTATCTGGAAGGCCTTGATCATGTTCTGTCTATTTCAACTGAATGTTCACCTTTGCAGCATCACATATTGGATTAGTTTCTGCTAAATGTGCCTGTCATGCTTGATGGGCTGGCTGAGCGTCTAAATGAGTCTATCGTGTTAGGATTAGTTACGAAAAATTTGATAGTAATTATTTTAATACCCGTTCAAAATTTAACGTTAAGTTTTGAAAATATTAAAAGTTTAGATACTAAACCCGTTAAGTTTTTTAATGACATAGAACTAAAATGAAATGAAAACTAAACATTTAGTATGGTTTTGAAAAAATTAAATATTTAGATACTAAAACGAACTAAAACTGATAATAAATCAATTACAATATTTATCTCAAAGAAAAGTAGCAACTGCTACTACAAATCAACCCAAACAAAAAACACCCCACCAAGATTATAGACAGACTAAATCCCCCAATCTATACACAACATTTTATTTATATTGTCATCCCTATCTGTACTCGTACTATATAATTTAATTCGAACCATATCTTTCACGCGATCAAACAGATATCAACAGAGTAAGCAACCCCATAAAGTGCGTACAGTTCCGTTCCTCTTATAGCAGAGATTTACCTCTCAAATTCTTTTCAACACAAAGCAGGCCCTCCCCCAACGTCTTAGAATATACTGCAGCCCACAAGCATGCATAATCGTACTTCAAATCCTGTAAGAATAAGAGCAAACAGAGAGCATATGGTCCCTAGATTCATTGTTAACACCACACAATCCGCAGATATCCTCTTGAACAATCCCAAAATGAGCAAGCCTATCTTTGGTAAGTAATCTATCCCAAGTAATCATGCAAGCAATAATTGCATGCTTAGGAACCTGGTCAGGAAACCAGATGACCTTATGCAACCTCACCTTAGCCTCTTTTCCCTGATGCAATCCCTATTTTGATTCTTGTCTCCTTCCTGCAACATCAGCCAAGGACTTCAAACACCTGGATTTGTCACATCCTTTATATTGTCAAACAAACCCCAAAATTTATCTTCTTCAAGTCCAATTATTTTGTCTGCGTGAAAGCATTTTATCATTGATCAAAAGAACTCGAAACCGGCGTATTGCATTATGTGTCGCTCGACTGTATATGGATTTTTTACCTTACTGTATCATGGCAGGCCACCCTTGGGTTCAGGAGGAAGGTATTGCTCCAGATCAACCTCTTGATTCTGCTGTCCTATTTCGTTTGAAGCAATTTTCTGCAATGAACAAGCTGAAGAAAATTGCCATCAGGGTTAGTACCCAGATTCATGTCAACTATCTGAAAGTTCATAGTAGTTGTGCAGGATTTTTCAAATTGAATTTGTCGAGACGGTACTTCGCCCGGCGAAAACAAGTGTAGTCGCTTTCAAAATCTCGTCTCGAAAAAGTGAATGTTTTTTTTCTGGTATAAGATAAAACACAATTTGTAGAGTCGCCACCAATCATTTTATTTAGGTGTGATTGGTCACCAAAAATGTTATGTTATTTTAATAAAATTTATAAAAATAATATTAAAATAACACAAAAGGGTCTGCTTACCAAAAAATGAGTTCGGGAGTCGGTTACGTGTGGGGAATGATTAGCACCCCACAACGCCTAAAATTGGTACCTTGTTTATTAATTAATGTATTTGCAATAAATTAACAAATTTGTATTTAATTTCAATTTATGATCCCATAAAAATATTAAAGATATTATTTTATACCAACAAATTATTTAAAATAAATTCCT